CAGCGCCCGCTCCCTCGGCGCTGACCCTCCGACAGCGCCCGCTCCCTCGGCGCTGACCCTCCGACAGCGCCCGCTCCCTCGGCGCTGACCCTCCGACAGCGCCCGCTCCCTCGGCGCTGACCCTCCGACAGCGCCCGCTCCCTCGGCGCTGACCCTCCGACAGCGCCCGCTCCCTCGGCGCTGACCCTCCGACAGCGCCCGCTCCCTTGGTGCTGACAGTTCCTTTCTCGTTTCTGTTCCCTGTCTGTTCAGGTGTGGATGAGGCATCCATTGTCCGAATCCTGAGCAACCGGACTTGGGAACAGCGGGATCTCATCGCCAAGGGTTTCGAGAAGAAATACAAGACTGTGAGTGATTTTATTGAAATGTCCCTACAGCAACAAAGCTCTGCACTCATCTAGCACCTTCCGAAAGAAATTTGTCTCCGAGTCATGTGAGATGCTGTTTAGGGTCAGGCAACCAAACATTTGGACAAAGAGTTTGGACTTAAGGATTGCGTTATGGGTGGAGAGTGAGACAGGGAGAGATGGAGATACAGGGTCGTTTAGGGAGGGAATTCCAGAGCTCAGGCTTCCAGGGCATCTGAAGTCACTGTAATCAATGGCTAAACCAATGGGAATCAGGAGATACAGAAAAGGCCGGGATTTGAGGAGCACTGAGATCGAGGAGGGTTGGAGGAGGCTACGGAGATAGGGAGGGGTGTCAGGACTGGAGGAGTTTGTCAAGATTTGGAGATTCCCTCAGGACTGACCCTCCGACAGCGCCCGCTCCCTCGGCCCTGACCCTCCGACAGCGCCCGCTCCTTCGGCCCTGACCCTCCGACAGCGCCCGCTCCCTCGGCGCTGACCCTCCGACAGCGCCCGCTCCCTCGGCCCTGATCCTCCGACAGTGCCCGCTTCCCCAGCGGTATTGGATCTCTGAGCGTGACTGACAGTGAGGAGGACAGTTAGTGTGAGCTGTGAAATGATGGTATAATTTTACTGATTGTGAATGCTGCGTTGTTGTGTTTCTGCTGTGCAGAACCTGGAAGGGCTGCTGAAAAAGAAGCTGTCGGGTTACCTTGAGAACACCATGCTCACTTTGTTAAAATCGCCTGCAATGCTGGATGCTCAGGAACTGAGGGATTCGATGAAGGTACCATTCCCCACCCTCACACCCAGTAACCATGTGGCTATACAGGGGCTTCCCTCACCCCCTCTGTCCCTCTGTCATCAGTTACTTCTGTCTCTCCCCAGCCTTTTGGCTTGTCTCAATCCCTTCCCTTGTCTGCCTCCTTCTCCCCTCTTCCTTCAGCCTCTCTATCAGTCCCTCTTAGCTCTGTCTCTTTCACTCTTTCTTTTTGTCCTTGTCCATTTCACTCCCTTTATCATTCTCTTTCTCTCTCTCTGTCTTTCTTCCTCATCTCTCTCTCTCCCTCCGTCTTCTTTCCTTCACCTTCTCTTTCTCTGTCCCTGCCTCACCCCTTCTCTGTCACTTCTCCCTCCTCTTTTTCTCTCTCCCCGTCTGTCCCTCTCTCTGTGCCTCTCACTTTCTCTCTGTGTCCGTCTCTCTCTCTCTCTCTGTCTCTGTCACTGCTTCTGTCTGAGTGTTTTGTTTACTCTTTCTCTCTGTCCCTCTATCTCTGTCTCTGTTTTTCTCTCTGTGTGTCTCCCTCTCTCTGTCTTTCTCTGTCTCTCTCTCTCTTTGTGTCTCTATCTGCCTCTCTGTCTCCCTCTGTTTGTGTCTCTCTCTCTGTCTTTCTCTCTGTGTTTCTCTCTATCTCTCTCTCTGTCACTGTTTCTCTCTCTGTGTGTTCCTCTCTCTAGCTCTGTCTCTCTCTCTCTTTCTTTCTCTGTCTCTATCTCACACTGTTTGTCTTTGTCTCGCTGTCTCTCTCTCTTGCTCTCTCTCTGTTTCTGTCTCTGTCTCTGTCTCTCTGTCTCTCTGTCCCTCTCTCTGTCCCTCTCTCTCTCTCTGTCTCTCTGTCTTTCTCTCTGTCTGACTTTCTCTGTCTCTGTCTCTCTCTGTGTCTCTGTCTCTGTCTCTCTCTCTCTTTGTTTCTCTCTCTCTGTCTGTCTCTCTCTCTCTGTCTGTCTCTCTGTCTCTGTTTGTCTCTCTGTCTTGGTCTGTCTGTCTCTCTCTCTCTCTGCAAACCCCTCTCACTTTACTCCTCTGAATTCTTTCAGCCTATTCTCCCCAAGGGGGGTCTAAATCCCTTGGCCTACACCACAGAGCCTCTCCCTTGTGGTGAAATGCAGCCGTTTCCTGGTGCCAGGGCCCTGAATGCCCAGCAAATGGCACGGGATGGCATTGCTGACAGTGACCTGCACCAAAGCTGGTCTCGGTGCCTGACTTTCCCAAAATATCTGTTCCGACAGGGCTTAGGCACGGACGAGGACACTCTGATCGAGATCCTAGCCACGAGACCCAACCGGCAGATACAGGAGATCAAAACTCTCTACAAGGAAGGTTTGTCATTCATTCACTCTCTCCGAGTGGTGCCCGCTCTGAGGGGGTAGGGAGGTGGGGTGGTGTTGCTGTGTTGTGGTGGGAGAAGGGTGGGGTGTTGCTACCAGGGAGTCCCAAGCCCCTAGTAGTCAAAAATCCAAATTTCATTTCCAGACAGCGATTCCCTCACAAGCTCCCCTCCTCTCCGCTTAATCCCTCGCTGCCAGCATCTGTGGGTAGGAGTCATACTAGTTTGCCCCACATTTGCAAACCCATCTTCCTTGGCACTTGTCAGGCTCTACAGCGGGACCCCACCCCTCAGCCCGCCACCCCAAGAGACTCTGGGCTCAAAGTAGAACCATGACCAACTCAAACGTTCTCCCTCACACTCGTTCGATCCCATTCGATCTATGCCCCAAGTCCGACTTGCACAGCGCCAGGGACCCGGGTTCGATTCCACCCTCGGGCAACTGTCTGTATGGAGTTTGCACAGTCTCCCCGTGTCTGCATGTGTTTCCTCCCACAGTCCAAAGATGTGCAGGTTAGGGTGGATTGGCCGTGCTAAATTGCCCCGTAGTGCCCAGGGATGTGCAGGTTAGGGTGGATTTGCCATGCTAAATTGCCCCGTAGTGCCCAGGGATATGCAGGTTAGAACATAGAACATAAGAACATAGAACAGTACAGCACAGTACAGGCCCTTCGGCCCACGATGTTGTGCCAAACTTTTACCCTAAATCTAAGGTCTATCTAACCTCCACCGCTACCTTATACTATCATCCATATGCCTACCTAATAGCCGCTTAAATGCCCCTAATGAGGCCGACTCCACTACCCTCTCCGGCAATGCATTCCACACCCCTACCACTCTCTGAGTAAAGAACCTACCTCTGACATCTCCCCGATATCTACCTCCTTTCACTTTAAAACTATCTCCCCTCATAAAAGCTACCTCCACCCTAAGAAAAAGTCTCTGGCTGTCTATCTATACCTCTGATCATCTTGTACACCTCTATCAAGTCACCTCTCATCCTTCGTCGTTCTAAAGAGAAAAGCCCTAGCTCTCTTAACCTTTCCTCGTAAGACCTTCCCTCCATTCCAGGCAACATCCTGGTAAATCTCCTCTGCACCTTTTCTAACGCTTCCACATCTTTCCTGTAATGAGGCGACCAGAACTAGATGCAATACTCCAGATGTGGCCGAACCAGGCTTTTGTACAGCTGGAGCATAACTTCACGGCTCTTGAACTCAATCCCTCTATTAATGAAAGCTAATACACCATACGCCTTCTTAACAACTCTATCCACCTGGGTGGCAGCTTTCAGGGAACTGTGAACATGAACCCCAAGATCGCTCTGCTCCTCCACGCTGCCAAGAATCTTTCCGTTAATCCTGTATTCTGCTTTCAAGTTTGTCCTTTCAAAATGAATCACCTCACACTTTTCAGGGTTAAACTCCATCTGCCACTTCTCAGCCCAGCTCTGCATCCTATCAATGTCCCTTTGTAACCTAGAAACCTGTAACCTAGCACGGATGGGCCGTGCTAAATTATCCCGTAGTGCCCAGGGATGTGCGGGTTAGGGTGGATTGGCCGTGCTAAATTGCCCCGTAGTGCCTGGGGATGTGCAGGTTAGGGTAGGTTAGACATGAGGAAATACAGGGCTAGGGGATTGAGTCAGGTGGGATGCTCTTTGGAGGGGCAGTGTGGACTTGTTGGACCGAATGGCCTGTTTCCGCACTGTGTAGGGATTCTATGATTTTTTGTAAACATTCTTCCTGCATTTACCCCTGTCTAGTCCTGTTAGAATTTTATAGGTTCTTATTAGATAACGCCCCTCCTCTATCTTCTAAACTCCCAGAGAATATAATCCTAAGTGATCCAGTCTCTCTCCGATGTCAGTCCTGACATTCCCAGGAATCAGCCTTTGTCACACTGCCTCCCGTAGCCAGAATATCTTTCCCGAAATCCGTGCACAGTATTCCGAATGAACATGGTCTCATTCTGTTCCCCCCTGCAACCCTCAGAATTTCAGAAAGACCTGGAGAAGGACATTACGTCTGAGACCACTGGAAGGTTCCAGAAGCTGCTCCTCGCTTTGCTGAAGGTAAAATTTCCGACCTCCAATGTTTTGCCTGCGGGATCGAGTCCCCCATTTCCACCCCGCCCCCCCACCACTCCCCGTGGGAGTGAGTCCCCCATTCTATCTCTTCCCCCCACCCCACCCAACTCCCCTGGGGATCAAGTCCCTCATTCTGCACCCCCCAACGCTCCCCGTGGGAGTGAGTCCCCATTCTCCACACCCCCAAAACTCCCCAGGGCTGCGTGTCCCCCATTTTCCCCCCACTCTTCCCCCAATTCCTTTGGGAATACATTGCCCCCACCCTCCGAATTCCTGATTGGATAGTCACGGGACTGTCTCATATCGACAACCTTCCTGACTTGCCCTTGACACCTTTTCAGTGTCTAATCTGGCAAAGACAACCCTGAAGTGAGCCATCGTACTGCTGACTGCGATGACCCTGCAGTCGAATAGTCCCCTATTGCACTGTTGAGGGCTGGCTCAGTCCTGAGGAAG